TTACTGTATACGATCGCTGTAATCGTTTCGACTACTCAAAACGCAACGATACAGTCGCTTCGTATTACCTGCAGTGCAGTGAGCAATGTACTTCAAATATAATTAAATACACAATTTAAATTTTTAAATGACTGCACGGAAGGCGTAGTGGTTTAAGCGGTCTCCACGCCGCTTCCTAATACGCCGAGTGTTGTGGGTTCAAACCTCACATGGGACGATACTTTGTGTGATCCACAAATTGTTGTTCTGAGTCTGGGTGTTCTTGGTGTCCGTTTTATGTATGTTTGTAAAGTCCTAGCCCTAATATATATATATATATATATAACTGCCTCGGTTGTGCAGTGGTTAATATATGCAACTGCTGTGCTGAGGTCTCGATGTCGATTCCCGGGTCGAACCAAATGTTTGTATGATCTGCAAATATTTGGTTCGGGGTTTGGATGTTTTCTATGTATAATATGTTTGTATCTACAAAAAAAAGTATACAAGTATTCCATCAGTCATTCTAGGTTTCATAGTAATTACAAGCATTGCTTAGTTTAAAACTAGATGGCGTTGTGTGTCCGATGTCCGAAAAATATTGTATATATTTTAAATTAAATATTGTAAGTATGCTCGAAAGTATATTTAATGTCTAATAATGTGTGTATGTGGTCAGTGTGCTTATTTATATGAGTTTTTATTTAACAATTAGTCTTAATTATTTCCCCATCTCATCCTTAATCTTCTCAACTTTTTTTAATATATACGTATATTCTTTTAATGTATAAAAATACCACCCACACCCATACATACACACACTCACCTATACACATACCCACTCAATAACATTTGGTCCACTTGTGTAATATAATTTTTTACCCCTTGCATACAGCGACCACGTTCACTTGCACAACCTAAAGCATAATATATTTATTTGCATATAAGGGTAAGTACTTACCCTAGTGAACTGTATAATTTTTGCGACAATTAATATTATTATTATTGACTGCACGGATGGCGTAGTGGTTTAAGCGGTCGCCACGCCGCTTCCTACTACGCCGAGTGTTGTGGGTTCAAACCCCACATGGGACGACACTTTGTGTGATCCACAAATTGTTGTTCTGAGTCTGGGTGTTCTTTGTGTCCGTTTCATGTATGTTTGTAAAGTCCCCCGCGACACAGGATTTATTCCTAATGCGGGCGTTGTCTTTTTTAAATATAAAAATATATTATATTTTGACGGGCCTGTTGGACTAACTAACCGACCCTGACTGCTATGCCAGAGGTCGTGTGTTCGATTCCCACCCAGGACAAATAATTGTGTGATGAGCACGATCATTTGTTCTGTGTCTGGGTCTACTTTATCTATAACTAGCTGAGACCCGCGTTGTTACCCGCGTTTGTTGTTATAACCGCGGGCAACGAGGCGGGGCGAAGCTAGTCTACAAAAAAGTAGCCTAATAGCCTATGTCATCAGCTATCTGCCAGTGAAAGTCCCGTCGAAATCGGTCCAGCCGTTCCAGAGATTACCCGGAACAAACAGACAGACAGACAGACAAAAATTGTAAAAAAATGATATTTTGGCATATGTACCGTGTAAACATACATATGCATTTATTAAAAAGCGGTTATTTTAATATTACAAACAGTAACTCTTTGTACCTATAGATATGTATGTATGTGTCTATGTGTAATTTATCTATACTATGTATGCACTTAGAGCTCCGGATGTACGAATTTTTCGAACCGGGGCAGAAACTTGATAGAGGCGTCCCTCTCTCCAGTGTTTGAGACAAATTACTTAAAAAAAACTCGCAAATATAGAAGTTCACTTGTAGTGTGGCGACTTTATCTTACAAGTCGACGATTTCCGTATGCTAGGCGCTTTGTGGACCAATTTTTTTTATTTTTAATCATACTGTAAAAAGATTTTGGCGCCCCCTGAAACTGCCCTGGTTACCCCCCCCCCCCCCTTACATCCGGAGCTGATATTTAGTAATATATAAATATGTTTATCAGCAGTCTGGTTACCACAGTACAGGCTCTGCCTAGTTTGGGATCAGATGGTCATGTGTGAGATGTGTGAAAATGTTAATTTATTTAGTTTTACTTTCTTTAACTAATTGTCCTTAGATTATAAGCTTTGTTACAATAGAGTTATCCATCTTTCTTTATTTTTTGACACTATCTAGGAATAATAACCATAGCTTTAGTTATATATAATTATAACTAGCTGGTGCCCGCGACTTCATTTGCGTGGAATTTGAAAAGCGCTGCCTTAGTGAGTTCGATTCCCGGACCACGCAAAATTTTATAGGGTTTTTCTGAGAGAAAAAATATCCTAAGTTACTTCTTATATAGACAGCTACTTGGTAGTAAAATATTATAAAAATCGGTGAAGCCGTTTTGAAGAATATCCGGAACAAACAGACAGACGGACAGACTAAAAATATTTAAACTGATTTTTAGGCATAGGTATCGTGCAATTACCTTGTAACAATAAAAAAAACCTATTATTATGACATTACAAACAGACACTTCAATTTTATTTATTTGTATAGATTATGTGACACTAGTAGGCCAAAGCCTCCTTTCTAAGGAGATGCCTATGTCCAGCAGTGGACTAGTAAAGGCTGTTGCTGACGATGATAAGACACCAGGTGGTATATAATTTGTAAAATAGGGTCTAAGTTAAGTCTTTGTAGTGTGAACATAGTTGCAAGAACATAGTCTGTCAAGGGTTAATTTTAACTTAAGAACGGGGATGTTGTAACATCACTATAATACTGTTACGCGCGGGGTAAACAATAAATAAAAGTTGTCAGTTAATTAATTTTATTGCACTGTAATTACAAACACTCACTATAACAAACAAGAAATAAACTATATAACTCGTTAGTCGCACTAGATATTCGCTTCGATGTTAATTCGCTGTGTCGTAAAACGATACTGTGTCGTACGGCCAACACGCTTCGATTTCATTGTGCTATCAAATTACTAGACTAATCCCGAAGATACGATTTTCCAGACAGAACCACGTACAATAAGGCATCTATAATCTTCCGATATTCGACACTAGATGGTACTGCAAGCAAGTATCGGAATTAAAAACCATAATCTCAAAACGTAGCGTTGTGCCCCACTTGATACTAGATGGCGCTGTCCTCTAGACATAACACAAGTACCACTCAATCCTATGGCTCAACAATACTTTAGTACTTAGTAGATTAAATTGTCACGTTACTAAGCTGCATTGGGATGTTACAAACACTTTTACTATGAGGTTCTAGAAAATGGCATGGGACGGAAACGGAAACGGCGGAATATAGCAGACGGATCACCTGATGGTAAGTGACTACCACCACCCATGGGCACCTCCAACTCAGAAACAACAAGTGCTTTGATTGCCACGGATTAGAAGCCTCCCAGAATTAGAAAAGGGGAAGTGGTTGGGATTGCGGCAACTTCACTCAGTTGGTGAAAAACAACGAATTTGCTAACACCGGATTTCTGTTAAGCTGTGGTGTTACTCTGGCCTATTTGTAAAAAAGCATGGCTCCCATAGCCACGGTTACATGTCATAATTTATTTAGACAGTATGAATCCTTTAAAAAAAAAGTAGAATCGACTTGAAAGAACACTAACAAAGAGCACTAAAAACCTACCAGTAATCGCGGTTGATTTGCTGTAATTTTTTGAGAAGTTCCGTTGTCTGTCTTCGAAATGGGACCACTTCGCCATAAAACCTTTTCGAATAAAAAAATATTTTGGAAATCTGTCACATATATATGACGGAGTTATCTCCGAACATACATAAAAAGAAATATAAACATCCGAATTGAAAACCTCCTCCTATTTGAAGTCGGTTAAAAATGAAAAGCCGTACTAAAAAAATATAGTTTCTAGAACCCGGTTGCAGCGCCCCCTATAGGTTTTTATCGTGAATCACAAATCATTTAAAAGTTTTAGCGCCACCTAGCGATCTGATTCAGTCTCTAAAGCATTTGGACATGACATAAAAACCCACATAAAATCGTTTAAAAGTGTACTTAAAAGCATCCTAGAATTCCTTCAAGCAAGCAGGTCCAATTGCGTCTCATAACCCACTCTGGACCCATTAAAACACACACATACAATTTTATTAACGAAAACGAAATAAAAATCATTCCACCACCTATCGTGTCTAATTGCCTTTCTAAATCTTCTCCCGACTCACGAAAACTTATAAAATTTAGAAAATTTTAGAAAATAAAAGGGAATCCTACATCCCGGTCGCAGCACCACCTACCGGCTCAAATGTAACTCAAAGAAATCCAGAAAAGCATTTAAACACCCGAAAAAAACATCAAAATCGGTCTAGCGCTTTAGGAGTTCTGTAACATACGTACTGATACTGAATCAATACTGCGGAACTTAGGTATTTCAAACGGTATTTTGATGAGTTTGTATTCAAATCGAATCAAGAGACTATTGATTAATATGGCGACTAGAACACGACAAATTAAGAATATCTTCTTTCTTTTGTAAGTTAAATAAAATATAATAAAAACCGATTCTTGCTTCGTCAGTTATAAATCATGCATATTTTCATGTAAAACACACTAGCTCCATCTACACAATTTTCTTGAGCGTGTAAAATGGATACAGTAGAACACAGTTTTATGGCCCTTATTGGCCGAGAATAGCTCTAAAACATATTTTAAGCACCAAATAAAGCCAATCATATTAGTTTTTTAAATATTATTTGAGTAATTTTTTTAATTTAATTTATCTATTAAACAAAATGGCGTTCGTTATAAACTTTCTAAAACACAACACTCATAAGGCACATACAACATCCATAAATCCTATACTGCGTCAAAACTTTAAGTTACTAAACGCAGTAATCATAGGGAAAAAAACATTTTTTTTGCCCCTGATGTCAGAACTAGGTAACAAAATGTTTGACTGCGCGCGCACTCCGCATCGACCGATACCTTATCGCCTCAGTACGAGTCCGACCGCATTATCGGTCGGACCTATGTTATAAATGGGTGAGTTGCAATACCCCGGGGCACCAAACGTCGCGGATGATGAAAGACAGTACAGGGCTCCTTTCCGAAGGGCTCCGCAATATAGGTGGCCCGCGCCACAGCCGCCGCAGCCTTCGGCCTTCGCCCCGTGGCGTAGGGCGCCCGCTCCGCCTCGGCCTCCGGACTATCGGCGAAGTGCTTCCTACCCGGGCAAACCTGATGAGACCTACCAAGTAAGTAATCCATTTATCACAAAATTACATGCATACTTAACTTTTTGGTGTCAATTTCAGTTTTGAATTTCGAGTTTTAAAACAATTTTGAGATTGGCTATGGTTTTAATCAACCTGTAACTGCTGTTATGTTAATTTTCTTACGTATGTTTCGTTTTAAAATAAATAACAATTGTTATATTTCTGTTCAGTTGACTGAAAACGTAATTTTGACGTGTAAGCACTACGTATGTTAGCTGGTGTTATCAATATGTTTAACTTCAACCTAGTTATGTCAAGTGTACCAGCTGAATGCAAATAACTGAAACAAATTACAATATACTCGTAAAACGAAAGATTACTTAAATTTATAGTACATACTTGACGTACTTACATAAATATTTTCTTAAATAATATTACTTGGTTGAAAACAATTCTACGCAATCGTAGACTTAAATTTATACAAAAATAATTTGATTTTATTGACTGATCATCAGATATATATATTTTTAATAAAGTAATTTGAACATACATACATTAAGTGTAGATTTTATTAAACCATATTAACTGCTAATTTTGCTCGTAATTCTAGATGTTTATTACTTTGAGTGTTTTAGTTAAATAAAATAACAGAACTCAAACTCTAAGATCTACTTACATTATGTGTACAATTTATTTACACGAATAACAAAAATCAAAGTGTAAAAGGAAATATTCGTGACACGTGGCAGTATACCTATGCGTTATGGTGATCACTTTCTGCGATTTAAAACTCAAAAAACGAAGTATAAATATACTTTTATCTGGGAAAAATATTTCTCAGATAATTCTTGTTTTATGAATTTTTTTAACTGACTGAAAAGAGGAAGTTCTCAATTCGATTGCACTTTTTTCATGACCGATTTGAAAAATTCCTTTTTTATATGGAAGAGTATACTTCCGTTAAATCCTGTACCAATTTAAAGTTAAAAATAAGACTCATTAAGGGGAAAAAATCGGGACATGTGTGAGTCGGACTCGCCCACCGAGGGTTCCGTACAAATATATAGGTACATATTACAAATAGTTCAGGAATCGAGTCTCGCAGTTTTTTCCGAGCTTTCCCAGAAATTTAGTTTCCAAAACCTACAATTACTTATATTATTGTGTTTTATAAGTTAAATTATGCCTCGATGATTGATTACGTACTTTAAATAAAGACTATATTTTTTATGATTAATGTACAAATGTATAGTTTTCAGATTTTTCTCTGTACTTGTGGTATAAGACGGTATTTCTTAATTTTTCTAAAAAAGACAACTCTTAAAAAGAAAGACTTAAAAAAGACTTTACAAACATACATAAAACGGACACAAAGAACACCTAGACTCAGAACAACAATTTGTGGATCACACAAAGTGTCGTCCCATGTGGGGTTTGAACCCACAACACTGGTCACAGTAAAAAACGGCGTGGAGACCGCTTAAACCACTACGACATCCGTGCAGGTATTACTTGCCAAATTTCATAGTTCTAAGTCAACGGGAATTACCCTATAAATTTTGATTCCCTTGAGAATGTCCAATTATGCGTTATTTGCGGCATAAACGGTCTTATATTTTTTTTACGTTAACTTAGAAGTTTGATTTTTCCACAGCTTCAAAGGACTGTAGACCTGAATATGTAATTTTAATTTTAACCTGATACTTCCACGCATTCCCAAGACAAAGAGTCTTGACAGACAGACGAACAATAAAGTAATCTTATAAGGGTTCCGTTCTTTTTCCATTTTGAGGTATGGCACTCTAAAAATGAAGGAATGAAGAGCACGGTTCTACTAGGTGATTCTTTTTTTAATTTAAATTAAGTTTTATAAAGTTCTTACGTATAAAATCCCCACAAGCTTACTTGACCATGATATAAGTTATCTCCATAAAACCATTTCAAAGGACCCGTAGAAGCCTTCAGTATTCTATAGTAAGAAGCTGTGTGTTTTATTTGATTCTTTCATCCGTACTTCCATGGATTCACTCACCTTTTTATCCTGAAAGAGATTGAAAGAGGCTTATTAAACGCCCACAATTTGTCGACTATAATTTTAGTCTCATCATTGCTGGATAGGACTTTCTATAGAACGAAGGTTTTGGCCTAATATACCACGCTGGGTTGGTATAGGGTTTGTGTCAAGTTTTCCTTCTCTTTGCAGTGCTGTTGTCCTGCGTAGTTTGCTCAGTAAGTCGGCTCTTACGACACCCCCGGGATGATTTTTCATTTTGCATTCATTTAAATTAGTCGAGACACCATTGTGTCAATGCTCAACACCTAACTCACACTATGAACAGTCTGCTCATCATATCCTCTGGGAATGTAGTCTTTGGTATAATGAACGTAATATAATGCTGAATAGCTTGCAGGTGACATCTGGAGCGGTATACTATGGGGATCTTGTGTCAACTAGGGTGAATATCCGTGCGTTTAGGCGATTCTGCCATACATATAATAGAAATCAAATATAGCTCACGTAGGACCCGTAATATTTTGTGGCCGTGGTGCTTCCCTGTTTAAAAGGGTGTATGCCCATTTTACTTCATTTTATTTCCAACTCCTCCAATTTTCTTCTGATTAATTTCGTTGCGGGTTCCAAGACAGTTTAATTTCTTCCTGGGACTTCCCGAGTGTCATAACTCGGTGTGTTCGTGGGTCACTGCTATGGATCCTGGTGTACAGGAGTTACAGTGGTGGGCGTGTGGGTGGGATTAGTCCCAACCCCGGGATGAATAGGAGTGGTGACACTCCGTATTCTTAATCCGTTATCACATCACACACATGTCTATCTTTACATAATATAACATAAATTTGCTTCCCGTTTTTGGACGCTTAGATCTATCAAACTAAACAACGGATTTTAATGCGGTTTCTATCAATAGAGAGAGTGATTTAAGAGGAAGTTTTATATGTATAATATATGCATATTACACTCACAAAACATTAGTATCTACATTGTACCCTTGCGAATCCAGGGCGGGTCGCTAGCTTAGAGATATATATGTGTGTTTGTTTGGATATTAATGTACCCGATTGAGGGCAATAGGTCTCCGCTGTTGATTATTTAATTTGGTCAAAATAAGCAAAGAAATACTTTAAAATACTACTGTTATTCTGGTGGATATTTTTTTTAATAACACTCCAGAAGATTTAGCAAGTAACATTCTCATTTTATATTGTATTTTTAAAATTATATGTAAGGTCAATTTCTGTTCCTCAATCTGATTTTTATAAATATACTAGTTATTACTTATCTTGGTTCGCGTTAAATGTCGATTTGTCAATCAATTCTCTTTGATAAAATGTAACTTAAATGCTATTCCAGACTATAAATCTATCTCTTTCTCATTTTTTCTCAATCATCCGTTTATGTGTGATGTTTGGTACTCACATACATCCATATATTTCACCGAGGAAGACTCATATTTCGGCAAAAATTAGCTGGCTCCACTGGCCACGGCCTCATAGAATACCGCTGATAAGGAATTTATCAGGAGGCTATCATTATGGAGGCTTTTTTCCTTAATCCATCAGCCTTTCGTAGTCCTCTACTAAATATATATTTATAAATAAATATATATATCTCTCTCTCCATTTAAACATCTCTTCTATTCTTTATGCCTTCTACATCCTGTCTCTCCCGGTTTTTTTTTTTGGAAAATGTAATTAATACAGTTTCGTAGCGTTATATTAAGAGTTTACTGATTAACAATGTTTGAAAACCAAGTAATAATCTTAGGGTATACCGTAGATCTTTCGGGGGTGGTGGTAATAGAAATTTAGATTCTTGCTGCCCCGGCCAATTGGAAGCAGAGTAATACCGGGGTAACAGTCGGTAAGAGTCCGCCGACAGACCCCTCCCCCCCCCCCCCCCAAGTGGACGAAGGACATCCATGTGGATATTCCAGTCCGTTAACAAGAAAAGGGTATACCGTAGCTTTTGCAGTAAAATTCAAGTCGGTTAACTAATGAGTCGCCATTTTGAAATGTAATACGATTTAAAAAAAGAATCGAGGTTTGTGATGTTAACATTTTTCTTCCATAGACTAATGTGATCGATCTCTTTTGAGTCATTGTGACACCACCACGCACTTTACGAGACGGTCGCGTATACGTTACGGTGCGTACCACGTATGTTTGATCTAATTGTACGTTTTTATTAAATAATAAATGATAAACAATATTTCTTATTTTTTGTGTCACGATATAAGAAATAACTTGTAACCATTTACTACAACTTAATTTAATTTCCATTGCTGTCAGCCTTTTGGTTGCATATTTAACTTGATTTTATTAACCCAACAGACATTATTTTTTAATAAAGTGTTTTGAAAACAATAATTAAATTAATTTCGATTTATTCAACCATATGAACTGCCAATTTTGCTCGTAATTCTATATATTTATAACGTTACGTGTTCAGTTAAATAAAATTACAGAAATTAGAGAAAATTAAAAAAATGTACAAAACTCTCGTGATTACTCTCTCTCTCTCTCTCTCTAAGTTTAATGGACTCAAAAAATCGTCCGTCTTATTTTTGGTGGTGTTTTTCTCATATATAATTTGTGTACTGATTTATTTGTATAGTAGACACTTTCTTTGATAATTTAAACCTACCACAAAATGCAATCATTGCAACAATAAAAAAAAAAGTTTCATTAAAATTGGTATAAAAAAAAATAGTTTTACAAAATTAAAAAACACGTTTTAAAAATTAAAAATTTAATAAATTTGAAAAAAATACGTTGGGTGCCTTTTGTCAATGGTAAAAAGCACCCCACGCTTTTTTTCAAATTTATTAAAATTTATTTTCTATTTTTTAGTTTGGTTGTCTATAAAAAGCGTGTTTTTAAGTTTTTTTTTAACTATTTTTTTTTTATTTTTTTAAATTAGTGTATTGTCATCGGTCCTCGATATATTTACAAAGTTTGAAAGTATTCTGACCATTTAAAGTCAGTCAAAATCACGCCCAAAGGAGTCGGTTACAAACAAACATACAAGTGAAGCTAATTTACAGCGTGTAACGAACTTCAAATTGCGTTAAATATTCTTAGGTAAAATTAGGTAAATTATTGTATTGGGTGCTTTAAATTTCCTACCTAATAAACTGAATAGGGTAGATCCCTAGGTCTAAAATAAATTATTTCGCTCGAATCATTAAATGTAATAAGATGTTAATGATATAAAATAAAGATGAACAATTCAGGCTAAAAGGCTCAATAAAGATGAACAATTCAGGCTGTACTTTAAGGTACAGCCTGAATTGTCCTCCATTATCGTAAATCGATGTGTTTTTTGTTTTGTTATCTTCAAACCTTTATCTTTAAATAGTATAAAATGAAGTCCCTTTTTGCTCTTGTACACTTAGATCTTTCAAACAGATTTTAATGCGGTTTTTCACCAATAGAGAGAGTGATTCAAGGGGCGGATTTATGTGTATAGTACATCATCATCATCATCATCAACACCCTTTAACAGTCCACTGCTGGACATAGACGTCTCCTTAGAAAGGAGGTTTTGGCCTACTATACCACGCTGGCCAGACGGGTTGGTATAGGGTTTGTGTCAAGTTTTCCTCCTCTATGCAGTTTTGTTGTTTTGCATAGTTTGCTCCCTTAGTCGGCTTTTACGACACCCACGGGATGAATGGGGGTGGTGACACTCCGTATTCTTAATCCACACAGATATATAGTACATGCATATTATATTATTATTGTGTAATAATTTTAATTTATTACAGTCTACTTTGCTTGTCAGAAATGGTACAATCAAAGATTAGTGCTTACTTCGCATTTACTGGTTTACTGTTCGTGACTAAAATGTCACAGCGTGATGTTAGAAGTCCAATAACGTTATTAAAAAAAAATATTGGTAGGACAGTTTAAAGCAGAGATTAAGCGCATGTAACAAAAAAATTGGCCTCTAATTTTATTGTGATTCTCCTTATCACCTTTTAAGTAAATTTTTACACAAGAAAGAATACCATTTTAGAATAATTCGATTTTAGTAAGTAGTAAATGATACAAAGTTACAAATTTTCAACAATATGTGTTTAAAGAATTTGGGATGTGTAACTATCGTGTGTGCCTTACAAAAAATCGCTTTTAAGCAATTCCTTTGTTGCTTCTCACTGAGTGAGTAAGGTTGGCCGGAGTCCAAACCTCTGACAGGCCTATCGCCGTCCATTGCTGGACGAAGGCCTCCCACAAGAAGCTTCAACTACTATAGACTACGACCATCAAATTGCATCTAAAGAGGTTATTAAACAACCAATCTGTGGAACAAGTTATTCCCTAACCGATACGATTTTCAAACCTTCAATAAAAGAGCGTACTTCTTCCTAAAAGCCGGCAACGCGTTTGTGACTCCTGGCGGTGATAGTCACTTTCTATCAGGTGGTCCCTCTGCTCGTCTGCCCCCTCTAATAAAAATCTCAAAGACGTAGGCTCACGGATTTAAAGACTGCACGGATATCGTAGCGGTTTTAGCGGTCACTTCGTGCCTCTCAGTCCGTTTCATGTATGTTTGTAAAGTCCCCCGCGACACAGGATATATTCCAAAGAAAAAAAAAGAAAAAGAAAAGCTACTATTAACTGCTCTATTCTATAATAGTATTAATATATTTCTAAGCGCATTAGTGAGCCCTATACTTACTTCCTCAAAGATCGTATATCAGATGACAAAACATGTACTATACGCCTTTTAAATCCTGAGATATCAAAAAACAAAATTATATTCTTGTAAATTTTATCGACTTTATAATTATATGTAGGTCAAGTAAAAATACCCTCACGGGTATCGAACAATGACCCTTTAAAATATAGTCCGCCCCAATGCGCCACTCTGACAGTGATTTTATTGATTTCAACATGGTTTTTTGTTAGAAAGGGACGCGTATAACAGCTGTTTCACTCTTCCCGAGTTCTAAATTAGGGTAACAGGTAACCCACTTCTAATATAAGTACCTTTATTAAATATTATGTAGATGAAGTGTAATGAACAATTGGTAATGAAGTATTTATCTACACATTATGGAGTGTAGAGGCAAGGAGAACCGCGATATGAACATAGCTGTTGTAGATGGAGTGAAGTGTGCTGAGTTCAAATATTATAATACTTTTATTATCTGAAAGTTATTACACGTTTATCTGTTATCTGTAAAACTTATTGACTATTTTCGCAGTCTAGCACACACTGTCTAATTATTATTTAAGCCAATATAATTTTATCCTTTTTTTTATTTATTTTTAAAGTGTGGAAATTCCCTCGGACCGTCACCCTAAAACCACACGGTGTGCAATCTTTGCGCTTCTATTTTAGGGGGGTTCCAGGTAATTATCTCCTGGACCCC